GCCAAAGATTTATTATTATTATTTTATTAAATAAAAGAGCCAGCATTGTCAGAGACTACTCTGTGATCATGTGGCCATCATGATTGCACAGAATGCTGTTTACCTTCCCACCAAAGTGGTACCTATTTATCTACTTGCATTTGCATGCTTTCAAACTGCTAGGTTGGCAGAGGCTGGGACTAGTGAGAGCTGACCCCATCATGCAGCACCTGGGCCTTGAACTGCCAACCTGCCTATCTTGCAATTAACAGAGTCAGCGTCTTAGCCACTTGAGCCACTGCATCCCAGGCATTAACATATTAAGATACTAAAATGTTGAAATTGGCATGTTGAGATATTCAAGCATTGAAATGAAGTTAAGAACCAAAACAGAAACACTAGCATGTAAACCAAGGCCTGGATGCCTACTGGAAGATGTAGTTCTTAGCGTGGTGGCTGCCGATTCCCATGTCAGTGGTGTGGCAAATCCACTCCAGGTTTTGGATAGCATTAAAAGAGCTATTCAAAGTATTGCAATTCTTTGGGTGAAAATTGGACAGCTCCTGGGTTAAAACGCAGAGTGTCTGGGACAGCAGCGGGGCTCAGCATACCTGCAGTTTTAAAAGGGTATTGCCTCGGCTATTCTCAATGAAGAACCAGCCTGCCTTGGCAGTAAATGCTGCTCACCTGCTGGAAGCCACACCTGTCTCCCACTCTTGATGCCACCTTAACTTCCATGACTCTGTGCTCTGGAATTTCGTGGCTTGTAGTTGGAGGAGGTAAATAGCTCACAAGATGACACTTCCCAGAATGCCACAGCATTGAGCCAGAGCAGCTGAAGTGGTGCCAACCCGGGTTATTTTGTGTCTTCCAGTCGCTTCCAATTTAGGGCGACCCAAGCATGGGGTTTTCTTAGCAAGATTTCTTCGGAGGGGGTTGGCAGTTATCATCCTCTGTGGCCCAGAGAGGGAATGACTCGCCCAAGGTCACCCAGTGGGTTGTCAACAAACTTACACTTCCCAGAATTCCATGGCATTGAACCAAGGGCGGCTAAAGCGGCGCTAAGCCGGGTTATTTCTCCAGTGCGGGTGCAGTCATACATAGAAATGAAGCGCACTTAGGGGGGTTGCAGACTGCCAGAAATAGTGCAAATTGAGTCCACTTTTAGGGTTAGGGTTAGTGCTAGGGAATCATGGGAGTTGTTTTTTTCCTGGGACATTGAGCCTTCTCTGTCAGAGAGCTCTGGTGCCACAATAAACTACAGTCCCCATGATTCCCTAACCCTAACCCTAACCCTAAAAGTGGACTCAATTTGCACTATTTCTGGCAGTCTGCAACCAGTTTCAGACTGGGGAAATAACCTAGTTTGGCACTGCTTTGGCTCAAGGCTATGGAATTCCCAGAATTCCATAGCCTTGATTGAACCAGGGCAGTTAAAGCGGTGCCAAACCGGGTTATTTCTCCAGTGTGGAGGCATCCTATAAAGAATATGTTTTTTTTTTCCCCAAAAGCCAACCCACTCTTCCTCCTTTTCCCCCGCATCCGTCTTCCATCGTCACAGCCCAGCCTTATCCCACTTGGCTGAGCCAAAACCGAGAAGCGGGCCTTGCAAAGCCTCGGCTTCCGGTTTCCCCGGAGAGAACAGATCTCAGGGAAGGAAGGAAGGAAGGAAGGAAGGAAGGAAGGAAGCGGGTCCGGGGATCCTCCGTGCCCAGGATGGCCGGGCTCCTTGCGAGGGCCGCCGGGGAGCCGGGGGCGAGGCAGGGGCCGCCCTGA